ACAATAAAATTGTCTTCAGCTGTTCCATTAGGATGAGAAATCTACTAAGGGAGTATGTTTTATCTATGGTAAAACATTGTTTTTTTAATTAATGACAACAGCTGATAATATACAGTATAAAGAATACTACAAAAATTGAATCCCTGATATATAATTCACGGCAACTCACTTGCATGGTTCCAAAGCTACCTTTGTAACAGATCACAACTTGTTTCCATTAATGGCATTACTAGTAATGTATTGCCAGTAGACTATGGTGTGGTCCAAGGCAGCAACCTTGGTCCAGTTTTATTCTTAATTTATATAAATAATATTTCCAGACTAAACATTTTTGGTCAAATCTTTTTATTTACCGATGACAGCCTAATTTTCCTGCAAGGAAAAACCTGGCCCGAGGTGTATGACAGAGCCACACACGATCTCATGATAATTAAGAAGTGGTTAAATCAAAATGTTCTTTCATTAAATGTTTCTAAGACAAAATTCATGCCTATTTCTATTAGCAAGAGTACAGACTTCAATTTAGCCAATTTAACAATCCACGAATGTGACGATTATCAAAGTAATTCTTGTAGATGTGAAAGTATAGAAAAGGTCAACTCTTATAAATACCTAGGTGTATTGTTTGACGAACGATTAAAATGGATAGATCACGTTAATTATGTTAGAAATAAAATTAGGAAATTAATTTTTGCTTTCAAACACATTAGAGAAGTTTTAACGGTTAAGGAATTAAAAATGGCTTACTTTGCTTTTGTCCAATCATTACTTTCGTTTGGTATTATAGCTTGGGGTGGCTGTTATAGGAGTACCTTGGAGCCATTAAATATTGCTCAAAAATCAATTTAAAAAATAGGATTTGGGAAATGCAAACGTTACCCGACTGACGCTTTATTTAAAGAAATAGGAGTCCTTTCTATTCGCCAGTTGTATGTAAAATCAATATTAATAAACATCCATAAAAATTACAATAACATTTTTCAAAATATTTCACATTTATATAATACAAGATATTCTTCTAGAGTTGGAATCACCACAATTCAAGTGAATTATACTTTTTCTACGACTAATTCATACTATGTTTCACACTTAGTCTATCGTAACATATGTAACATTTTCAAGGATTTCAAATTTTTTGAATGTGACTCTTTAAAGGTATTTAAATTCCGCGTCAATGATTTCCTATTCAGTTTAAATATTGACGAGGCCGATTCTATTATCACGGCGGACTACCGGCGCACTTGATCCGACCTTTGCACTGACTGACCTTGGCACTTTGTTTGGACTGTCCGCAGTCAAATTACTACTTTCTACACCACTCATACCCAACAATCCACTCATCACTCTCCACTCTCCTCACTACCACAATTACACACGAAACTCACACACACACACAGTCTGTCTCTCTCTCTCTCTCCTGGCCACCACGAAATCTATAATGCGCAAACTCACCAGCGCTGTGTTCATGAAAATACATTTACATACATCACTAATGATAACAACCCTTTAATTTTTTAATTGCCATTCCACAAATTCAATAATTTCCTTTTTTCTATTTGACAGCAACTTAGCAGACGCACAGGTAGCACTGCCTATGTCTGCTAGTTCCATTTGTTTATTGTTGAATATTTTGGCTCATTAAAACTTGTATGTATTTTTAGTGTCATAAGTCTCTGTTTAGTATATTTGATTTTATAATCACTGTTTGTAGCCAATGTTTTTTTGGAATAAACTATATATTCATTCATTCATAAACTCAGTTGAGACAAGGTTTATGCAAGTTAGTCAACATTATTAATATAGGCTAGGCTACTAGTAGTAAAAGTTATTACCATCTAAAAAGCTATAGGCTACTAGAAAACTGCTTAAAGGTTGTATTGTAAATGTCTCAGTTGAATTATTCTATTCAAAAATAATTAAGTTATTATTGCTAAGACAAGTAATAATAATGTACAGACTTTAATTAGGATAAATCCTAAAAGATAAGAAGCATTCTAAACCATATCTTACCTGTTACATTCCTACCCGCTATCTCCTATCAGCACACCGTTGAACTCGTTCTGCTCGAAACGGGCGTATAGGGATGAGTTTTTGAAAACTCGGGAATTGTCCGTGCTTCCTTTCCTACCTGGCGACGATGTTTAAATCTCTTGCTTAGCGCCTACCGCCGCAAAAAAAACATTGATTGAAAAATAGCCTTTGCGGTTTCGGTACTCCTCCTTGTCGTCAGTTGATGGACACACAATGGGAATATGTGTGCCATCAATTGCACTGAGGATGCCAGGGAAACGACTCAACCTATTCCAAACTAGGCCTTATCAATTCAATTAGTTCTCTCACAGAGTTTTTTCAAAATCTATATCCATCCTTGAATTCATCCTCACTTAAATCATCAAATGGATTGTTTTCCCGCTCACGACGAATTCACGGTAAAAATCATGATAATCAATGTAATCCATAATCACCTTCAACTTTAACACACAAAAATGGCTTTGGTTAAAAGTGGACGACTAAAATTAATCCTACCCCTATGCAGGATTAAATTGTAGCATGTTTTAATCCGTGGACTAAAGCAATTTCTTTAGTTCAGACTTAAAAACTAGTTCTTGACTAAGATTAGTCACTGACTTATAAGAATGAGCTTTAGTCTAAGACTAGCGCTAATACCTGAATCGGAAACCCGCCCTTAAAGTCAATATAACCAGAATTTAAATTTAGCTAACTTTAATAAAACCAACTTGAAAAGGTTCCCATAAATGAATTGATCGAAAAGAAAATAAAAATGTAGAGTGAAAACGAGAAGTTGAATTGAGAAATATGAATCAAAACTATAGTATAGAACAAAGGAACATATAAAAGTGTTTATACCTTATAGTCCTTACGTGTATCCCTTCACCCTAGACACACACTTAGCACTCGATGTCGTCACTATAGTATTCTCCGCCTCAACTGAGTAGAGACTGGAGCCTAAGACGCGGCTCGGGGAGAGTGGAGAGGGTAGCGCTCACTGCGCATGACCGGGTGGCTGACAGGCCGCGAAGGGGTAGCGGATTTTTTCCCCATGGAATTTTACGTCCTGGGCGAATGTGACGTCACAAACCAGGGGGTAAAATTCCGGCCGCGAACTTTTGAGTTTCGCGACATCAGTTCGATGGATTTGACGCTGAATTAAACGTATATTTTCACGGTTGTGAATTTAATCAGAACACATCAAATTATAAAAACCTAGTGTGTACAGGCCGGAATTTTACCCCCAGACTTTTTCCCCTTTCATGAGGTTAGCTCAAAATGTACGGCTCGGATTTTTACCCCCGGAATTTCACACCCCGGATTTTTACCCCCTGGCCAGATATATAAATTAGTGAGAATGGTTAATTATCTTCATTCAGTTTTAATTTAATAGTAAAGATTTGATTATTAAGTAGCCTATCTCAATTTATTTGTAACATCAACTAATCAAACAGGTTTTTAATTTTAATTTTGAGATTCGAGTATCAGGATTTGATATTTGAAGCTAACTGTTGCTTAATATGACATATAAAAAAACATCAGAATGGTAATGGATTCGAAGATTTCTTTAACGATTTATTATACAACCATGGTAAACAATGTTTTTTGTTTGTATTGTAACAATAACAAAATATGCCTTATTGTTTCTTTACGACGAAATGTTCATCCAATTATCATTTAAATAAGCGAATCAGTTAATTTTACATACCGTACTTATTACCCAAAACATATTGCCAACTGTTTATAAAATCTAAATATCGTAAAAATTACAACATTATGGTACATTATTGTATACACTACATTTCCTCCCCTTTAAGTTTAAAGTAAATTTTTCTTCAAATACGCCATTTTTATCAACTCATCAAACCAATTAAATATCATCAATAAAACCTAATCAAAATAATTTTCTTACAAACAATGTTGTATGATTTAATCAAATAAGACAAAACAATAAACATTGAAAACAAGCTACCTTGATAAAATTGGAAACAAAACATAACTCAAGATTTCATCAATAAAATCAACAAATATCAAGAGACATGGCATTAACCGAAGCTTCATTTTTCGTGATTTGGACACATGTTCGCACGTTTTTCTGAGAGTGGATGCCATGAGAAAATCTTTACAACATCCATACACTGGACCTCATCCAGTGATTAAGAAAGACAGTAAAACTATCACAATAAAACTAAATGTTTCTAATGTTAAAGTTAGTCTTGACAGAGTTAAACCGGCCTATGTACTTCAGAATGATGAAGTTAAGCCCTCAACTGGATCTCAAACTTCAAAAGTCTGGAAGAAAAGTGAGATTCAAGAATCCAATTTCAGTTTGATGAAAATTGTGTTTATCCTTGCTGTTATTTTTTTTAAATTTTGTTTTGTGACTTTTCGGAACCCTCCCAAAACTCCATGGACTTCTAGTCTTCGAAGGGGGCTCCTGTAGTGGGCTGGCAGATCTATCAGCAGACAGATGTTTCATAGAATTTGATTTAATTTGGTTACTAAGAAGTTATAAATAAACAAGAGGATATATTTTGAGGCTTTCCAACAAAAAGTGGTTCAATTTATTTGCACTGAACAATTGATTGTTATTTACCTTAAAAGTATGTTAAATTAAAACAATCATATTTAGTGGAAATCTTTAGACTTTTATTACAGGTATTTCTCCTGATATAAATGAAGTCTCCTATTTATACGAGGTTCTTTCCACTAAACTTATATGGCATTTTATGTTCATCTTAGCCCAAGGAACAAGTCCACAAGATATGGCCAGACAATTTGGAAACAGCCTGTATATTATATATACATTCATACTTCCTCTTTTATAGATTTAGATTTCTTTTAGAGGTGATCCAAATAATTGGCCATCCAGACAATGGTAGTTGGGAATGTTAAGTTCTAACTGTAGTAGCTATATTACTGAGATAAAAAGGTTATATAAAATTATAAAAACGTCTAGACCAACAAGTACGTACAAGTAAGTAAAAAAATAACTTTTAATACTTCATTTATTAATGCCACATATTTACACAAATCCACTTTTCAACATCAAAATTGATAGTCACTACGCTGCATCTTTGACACAGCTTTGGCAAAATTCAACAGCTGATCTTCATTTTCTTCAATGCATTTGAAAATCCTTCGTATATAAGACAACCTGAGGAGATATAAAAAATATAAGATTTTTTATTTACAAACATGTATTGTACTGTACAAGCCTTATAATAAAATGGATGTAGGTTGTAGGTCCATCTTCTGGAAAACTCAAATGTCAGAAAGGAGTTTACTCTCAAACTCGCAAACCGGTTTCAAATATTAAATCAAGGAGAGGATAAAATAGACCACTCTATAGAGGACAAATGGAAAATAATTCAAGAATCAGTTCAGGAAGTAGCTGAAGAAGTAGTTGGCTTTCAAAAGAATAAAAAAAGCCAAAAAAACTTGGTTCAATGAAGATTGTAGACAGATCATCGAGGAGAGAAAGAAAGCTAAAGATGAACTACTCATACAGGCTACCCAAGAAAAAAAGGGAAAATACTTAAGAACCAAGAAGAGATCCTTAATATATGGAAGGACTATTTCAGCGAACTCTTCAATGCTGAGAGGACCACATTAAGAAGAAGAAGAAGATGTATACTCGCATCCTCAAGTAAGGATTCAATAACCAAACGAGGAAAAAGTTCAAAATGCATTAAACGCTCTAAAAAATAACTAAGCCCCAGGAACAGATGGCATCCAGCTAAATTTCTTGAAGCAGGAGGAAAAGCTCTTTTGACAAAGCTGCATGAACTCTCAGTCCAAATCTGAAATGAAGAAAAAATACCAAAAGAGTGGAACCTTGCCGTAATAGTTCCAATTCATAAGAAAGGGGACAAACTGAACTGTAGTAATTATCGAGGAATGTCTCTAATAAACACAGCTTACAAAGTACTGTCTAAGATAATTCATAACAGATTACAAGAGTACTCGGAGGAGATTATAGATGAACATCAGACAGTCTTCAGAAAACAAAAGTCCACTACGGATCAAATATTTATTATCAAGCAAATGTTATCAAGATATTGGGATTTTAACCGAGATACCCACTTACTATTTATTGATTTGAAGAAGGCATATGATAGTATAAAAATAGAAAACAAATGTGGAAATACGTCATGAAAATGGGAATCCCAAACAAATTAGTTAAGCTGGCACAAATATGTACAGAAGACTCAAGATGCAAAGTACAAATAAACAACGAATATTCAACTGAATTCAAGGTAGTCACCGGAGTACGACAAGGAGACGGACTCTCTTCGTTGTTATTCAATCTAGCTTTAGAAAGTGCTCTTAAAATAGCGAAACAACCGCAGCCTGGTGTAGAAATTGGAAAAAAAATAAATATTCTAGCTTTTGCAGATGATGTGACTCTATTAGCAGAGGATGAAAACACTCACAGAGACTCTAATTAAAGAAACTAGAGCAATAGGCTTGGAAATCAGCGAAGAAAAGACAAAATACCTAATAGTTGGACGACACTTAGAAGATTTTGACGTGGAACACTCCTTACAAGTTGGAGACAATAAATTCAAAGGGACTAAAAAGTTTAAGTACAAGAAAATAAAGAAGAAGTAGAGATAAACGCCAGATTATTATTACTGGGAATAAATGCTATTGGACCCTTAAATCACTGCTAAAAAGTAGACTTTTGTCAAGGAGAACCAAAGAAAAACTCTATAAAACTATAATACAGTACAGCCAATAGCACTCTATGGATCTGAAACCTGGACATTGACGAAGAAAAACGAAAATAAAATAATTGTTTTGAAAACAAAATACTAAGAACGGTCCCATCAACGAAAATGGGGTGTGGAGGATCAGAACAAACAAATAATTGAGGTAAATCTATACAGACCCAGACATAATAGCACAAATAAAAAGCAGGAGACTGAGATGGGCTGGTCATGTAAAGAGAAAAGAAGAATATTCTACGCTAAGAATGGTGTCTGGAAATCTCCCTCGGGGAAGACGACCTCGGCTAAGATAGCAGGACCAGGTGCGAAGAGACATAGGGAAGCTAAGAGCAGAGGCAGAATGGATGGAAGACAGAGAGAGGTGGCAACTTGTTGTTGGCGAGGCCAAAAACCTACTGAGGTTTGAGTGGCCACATAGGTAAGGTAAGGTAAGGGTCATAAATAAGCACGTATTATCTGTCATGCTTTTGTCTGCCTACATTGTAAATGTCAAGCACTGACGCATGAGGTAGTTATTTTTTATTTTAAGACCCGGTTTCTCCAAGTAGTGTTTAACTTAAACGGGTTTAAAGATATAACAATGCTTAAACCATCAATCAATTTCTCTACGGTTTGGCCTGAAGTTTAAGTTAAACCATGGAAGAGGAATGTTGGCGCCGTGATATAGTATTCTCGCATTTACTTCATCTGTTTAATGCACATTTGGAGGTTATGTTTCCATAATACAGCAAGCATAAGACCAAGACGAAAATGAGCAATAGTTAGGTAATAGACTACATTATTAGTAAAGGTCAATTGATGTAAGTTGAATCATTCCATGAGACACCGATTAGTGATGAGAAAGAGCTCATTGACACTGAAGCCAACATTTTTATGAAATTAACGTAAAAATTAATTACGTGCAAGACATGTATTATTTATGGGTGGGTGGCAGGTTGCTGATGTTAAAAATTTTAACAACTTAAGCTACCGCTTTCTACCAGACCGGGACAAGGTGTCAACATAAGTGGTAGACAATGGAAATCCCTTTAAAACTAGGGCTCTGCGGTACAGACAATTTAAGGTCGGTACGGTACAATATCTTGTACCTCGGATCTCGGTACGGTACGCGGCTACCAGTATTTTGCGGTTTTTTTCCTCAGATTGAAACCATTATTTTAAATTGTAATATATTGACATTACTACGAAAATGGATCGTATCCTACATTCATGGTTTTCCAACAACAATTAATTACTGTCCCACACATTATTAAAACCTTTTCCTTCTAATGGAATTGTGTCAAGAAATCAACAAAGTAAAGATAAAGGCTTCACCTATTTTACTACTAAGTTAAGTACTTGCCTTGATAATTGGGGTCTGCGGGTCAGACTTTTTTTTTTGGTTCGGGTTGGGTCAAGCCAAAAATTGTTTATTAATGGATTTTTTTTTTTTAACTTCTATCTGTGTTTATAATATTACTTGATAATAAATATGAAAAACAATGTATTTATGTATATTACAATTTTGATGAATTGTAGGTTAGTTTGATTTAGTTTTAAGCCTAGTGACGCCATTCAATGTATGCGACTGTATACCATACGAATAAAGTTATTTCTTCATTTCATTTTCATTATCTTATTTACAGCTTGGGAATTGCCTTAACTGCAAGAAAGAAGAAAATAAAAATTCTATGTTTCCACAATCCAATATGTATAATTCATTCCCTCCCTCCAACTACCTAAGTACAAAACCTCACACTTGCAATAGCATTATTAGTTACAGCATCATAAATACATTATCTATTATTGGCATTAGTGGGCCTACAGATTTACATAATATAGGGCCTAAAATAGTAATAGGCTAAGCAACATGACAAGTCGAGAACTCATTGAATATAAGATGTTTTGTAAACTGATTTACTATCAAACTGTAAAATACTAATTGACACACACATGGTTTATTTACCATACACATGGTTTGTTTATGGTATAATTAGTAAGGACTGTAAAAATTTCATATCACGTCATACAGTAGCATAGATAGACCTACAGCAAAAGATTGAAATCTAAAACAACTGATTTTGAAAACTAATAAATTAAAATAATTAAAAGTCCATAAACTCAAGTCAAGATATTGTTTATATCACAATTAATTAGGTACCCTAAAAGAAACTCTTAACTAATTGATATATAGAAGACTAGCAGAGTACCCGTCCTTCGTACGGGGTTGGAATATAAGTATAAAATGCTTATTGCAGTTACTCAAGCTTTGCGTTTGCAATAAGGGAGGACACAGTTTGATAAAATTTGCCTTTTTTAAATTTACAGTCTTCTATAGTATTACACATCTACCATAGCCATAATGTTCTACCACTTCACCTAAACGATAGAGAGAAAAATAAATTATCAACAATTCGCAAAATATCACAAATTATTCATGAAATGAAAAACATAAACATAACTGTACAATCCTACTTTGACAGTTCTCATTGCAAATCACAGTTTTTTTTGCTGCTTAGTTCAAATTAGCTGTTTTCATAAATGCAAAAAAATATATAGTGCTGCACCCTGTTGGTAAATCTTATAACTTTTTAATGCTTTTCCATATCATAGAACCAACTTTTTTATTTAAAACAGCTGACTTAAAAATCCGCTGATCTTAAAAATTAAGAAGTTAAACGGTATTTATATATTTATATATATAAATATGTGTCCGTCAGGACAATAACTCGAGCAAAAATGATCCGATTTTGATGAAATTTAGTACAAACGTGTAAACCTACATTTATTCGAACGAGTTCGCGAACCAGCATGATCGGACTATGGGAACGGGGGTTAATGGGGGGTTTTATTGGGTAAAAATAAGTTTTTCCCATTTTTGACCCTAAAAACACAAAATTTTACAATTTATTTCCAAACCATTTTGTAGAGCTTAAAAAAACAAATAATTTAGTATGTTGAAGCGTTATTGTGCGCCAAATGGTTACAGGGAAAATTCCAAAAAAATGTAAATTTAAAATTCCCCTATGTTATTCTTATGGAGAATAAGTCAACTGTTGTAGTTTACTTGTTTATGAACATATTTTGATCGAATTTGGAAAGTACATTCATTTCTTACTAAAATATTAACATAAAAACCACCTTTTTACCATCCCTGTTGCAGCAAACCTAAGTACTCGTTAAACTAATTCTATTTAAATAGGGAATAAATATGAAATTTTTAAGGAGGCATTTTAATGTGAAATCCTATCAGGCTAATGGAAATTCGCTTAGACTGCAGGTTTACTGCGGCGGGGGTATTTTATTTTCAGATAGCCTAGGTATAAAAAAATACTCTCGGCCGTGCGCCCTCTGGGACCTTGCACCCATAGGCACGGGCCTATTGGGAAATCCGGCCCTGATCTAATTTTGTTACGACACAAGGCCTTTATTGACTGGGCTATGTGTAGTCAATGTTACAACAGTGGAATTTGAGGTTATGTTGTTATTTTAGTGCAGACAAAGTGAGTTAAACGGTACTTTGAGTTTAAATCAGCCGGTAATATGGTTTAACTTTTGCCCCAAGTTAAACTTCCAAAGAACGATGGAGAAACCAGAGCCAGTTAAACTAATAGTTAAACCATTTCTAAAGTTTTAACCACTTTGGAGAAACCGGCCCTAATTTTATCACAAAAAAGTGTGTCTGTAAGTTATGCAGTACACCTTTGGAGACAACTAAGGTACTTAATGCTACTTTTCTTCAGTTTCAACGTTCACTCTCTTTTGTACCAACTCTAAAGCTGGGTTTTCCTAGGCGCGGAAGTGGAGAGCGGAGAGAGGAACGCGGAGAGCGGAAAAGAGATTAACATGGTGTTCCGATCCGCTTCTAGAAAAACAGTAACATTAAATTACCTAAGACAAGTGGAGTCCGCTCTCCGCGTTCCTCTCTCCGCTCTCCACTTCCGCTCCTAGGAAAACCCGGCTTAAAGCCTCTAAATCAACTTACTTTCTGCTTTACTCTTGAAACATTACCACACAAGATATCAAGTTTGGACAGTAAAAGTTGCAGTGATTACAATTTCATATACTACTTTTAATCCAGCCTAGATGCAATTTAGCTTAATTAGACGAGATGTTCAGCAAAAATGACTTTCATTTCAAAGTTATGAACAACATTGTAGCTTCATGAAATAGAATATGTATAACATTCCTTTTCTTTTAGAAAGTTCATAGTACCAAAAATTAAATCATGTATTTTTATGCCTGAAAACCTTATTTGGTCAATCGGATTTATTAGGTAAATAAATAGAGTCGGTTCTAATTAAAAATGGATGATTAGAGTTATAATGTAATAGCTATATACTATGGGTTTTGAAATAAAATTTAATTTCACTTACTTGAGCTCTCCAATTTTCTGTTCTGAGATAGTTATGTCCGTTTCATTGAGAGACTGAGGATGTTTTATATTTACATCAATGAATGTCCAGAAATGATGTTTGCAACTTGCAGCCTCAAGTGTAAGGCTGTAGACAAAACCATTATTTTTTTATCATCTTTTATTACAGTACATTCTTTAAATCCTTAGTTTAAAATTCAAGTTTTGACTCCCATTTTTAATCTTTGCAATACTTTTCATTATTGACACCAATGCAAAGATTTACTTCTAATAATATACGCAGTTACTTAAGTAAACTCTGCAAATTTGTTGAAAATAAACCGCAAAATTCTTTATAGTTACAAATTTTAGGCAAAGTGCTTTATTAGTAATATCCTCAAAGAAGACATTCACGTAAGAAAAATATATTAGTGCTACAAGTTTCTACCCTGGTTTTGACGGAGTGTAGGTAGATGATAGAAAAAATTCTTGTCTTGGAATTTTTAAATACATGCCAAGAGATTATTATCTTGGTACCGCAAATGTTTTAGGAATAAATGACAAACCTAAAAGTGTGCCACATATAAATCAACGACATTTCATAATCTTTTTGAAACAACGTGCAACATTTATCAAACCGGAATGTAAACAACCTTACAAAAAGGAAAGCCTTCTACTCACATGTCTCCATTGATTTTCCCATTGTGGTATTTACATATTAAATTAACATTCCTAGCAAGACGAGCAAGATGTGATTTTTTTTCAGATATCAAATTCATTATGAGATCAGATCCTTTTTTTGGGAATACATAATTTCTGGCTTGTTTCAGCAAATACTCAGTGATGGCAGTGTTACCACCTAAAAAAATACCATAGATTAACGTTAAATAGCAGCTAATTATGCTGTTTTATTACAACATTAGAAACCATTAAAACACAAGAATCCAAAGGTTTTAATAAATTATGATCTACAGATAAAATGTAAAACAATTTATTAACCATTGTAATTTTCAGTTTGCAGTCTAGGCCCTATGTAGTAGATTGGTGAATCATTATCTTTGTTTCAACACAATGCAATGTGAATGTTTTATGCCAGAAACAGTGCGAGCCCTGAAGGCTTATGTAGACCTGACTTTAAGCTTTGGTTAACATGGGGGCTCAGAGGCACAATCGACTGTCCGGTATAACTCAAGGCGAGAGTAGTTCTGTCCGTCTCGATGCAGCGCTTCTGCGCTCTCTTCATTTCCTTTCCGGCTTCTGCGTTGCAGCATTCAAACAATAACACAACAGCTGTTGTGTCGTACAACAGCTGTTGAACGATAATAGATCGGCTCGAGTTCATTGCCCGCTTTACCAGGAAATACAAGGTCTCCAAACTCTGGGAAATGGTTTTCCTCAAAATAAAGAGAAAATTAAGAATAAAAACTTTTCCAAAAACGCTTTGTTAACCAGGTATCCACAATACTGTATAAAAAAATGTATATATCTATTTCTGAACCGACCTGAGCCGTGACACGTCCACACGATGTCACGACAAGTTTTCTTATAGTACTATGTCGCCGGAATCGGTTTAGAATCGGGTAGTTTTTTCAGCTGACCTGCAGATCCAGCGTCAATGTCTGCTGTTTGTAAATAAAAATAAAAAAAGACTCTCTCTCTTGACTCTGACGTATATATTTAAATATTGATTTAAATATATATTACTCTCCTTACAACACTCTCGATTCAATTCTTTACAAATATTGGTTGCCCCTAGGTTGGAAGAACTGTGTGAACAATAATTAATCAACAGAGCTTTGGCAGTGGAAATTATTCCCAGAGATCCTTAGGGGACGTCCCTGAAGTTGAAGTTCTTCCAAGCTGAAAAAAATCTTAAACATACACTGTATTTACTTTGCTCACTACTACACTAACTTTAGTGTTGCACTTCAATGTGAATCTTTTGTAGTGGCCTGTTATTACTATAATATACCAAACTCTTTTGAATGAATAGTATTGCTAAAAAGAAATACCCAGGTTATTGAAAACTAAGAAATATGTAACAATTCAATTTATCGTGCAGAAGAACCAATGACGCAATTTACAATTTAATGGTTTCTCAAGGTTTAGTCAATAAACGCATGTAACTTTAACAATAATATGATGGAATTACTGAACTCAGATTTCGAGTGCAACAATCAATGATAACCTTTAATCAAAAAATTGTGAATGAACCCCTTGAAAGAGAAGTATGGGGCGCGGTTACACACTGACTCCGAATATGCCAACTGAGGTGTGATATTTTACTTTAGTTTGAGATGACCAGTAATCGCAAATCCTTCGTTGGCCAACAACTTAAAAAATGAAGATCGTGTCTCGTAGTCCAACCTGGTTAAACAGTATTTCTGTTTGAACGCAGTAAAACTTGATGAAAGATTGCTTATTATTTTATAGCTAAAGAGTACTATGGCGGTTCATCTATCATGAAACACACACTAACACGATACTAACACACTAACTTACACTAACGGATTAACACTTCCGTGTCTAGTCGAACCTGCAACCTACCTCAACTTTCAGTATTATTTTATTTCCCCTAATCAAAGCAATGGCTGTTGCACTCTTAATTGATTTTTTTCTGAAATATTAACAAATTTAAACAGCGATTCTACAAATAATTTTGTTGAGTCAAAATATTTTACAAGTTATTTTGAATACCCCTACAAAAATATATTAATTTAATTCAATTTAAGAACACAAGATTACTACAGTCTACAATATAATACTGATTCATTTACTACAAACGGATATAAGAATCACCAATAAGAACTTGATCCTGGAGACATGTGCTTATATAACAAGATATAACAGGAAATTTTACCACATGTGCGATTCACTGAAAACTTATAACTATTACAATAAATAACATAAATTACTTACAAATTTGGACGTCCGACACTTAAAGACACACAGGGATAAGAAGGGAAAAACAAAATTAGGCGAGCTTTTCCCCAAAAACGCGATTGAACTGATTCGGTTGACGAAACATGAAATTTTCAATGGCGATTTGTGCTAGCCGGCAAAGTTAATTTACAACAATAGTTTCTCAAACTGATTTTATTTCCACTTTTTTTTTTTTTTTTTATAAAAAGAGGTTGGCGGCCTCTTTTAACCTTGCATTTTCCCGTCCACATAGACTAAGCGCCCGTGCGTGGATCGTTTACAGCAAAGCAAGGAGTGAGCCGGTACAGTATAAAGGTGAACTGTACTGATAAAATGTTATCGGCAGTGACCAGGATCCGAACCCACGACAACGCTGCCTTGGGCCCGAAGTCCGCGACGCTACCGACTGAGCCACCGACTCACTGACTTCACACTGCTTTTCACTTCGCACTGCAATTATATCCCTACGGGATATAGGCTTAACGATTTTAATGAAAATATGAATTGACTGACTAACACCGCGAATGAATTTAATTTTCACGAAACGATTCTTTTAGCTTACCTAATAACGGAGAAGGCGGGGAACGAACTGGTAGACGAAGACCGATCCCTGGCTGGCTAATTTCATCCCCACTCCTCGTAGTGCACTGTGGGTACCGTCGTCTATTGTTTAATCGGCTGACTGGTTCTTCGCGTCCACTCATATTAATTTGTTGTGTATTTCAACAAATCGGTACATGTTCTGAAATGTGTTTTTGTCATAAAGCCCATGACTCTCATCCTAAAAACATGTGGAGACTTTGTGTGTAAAATTTCTGGGGAAACTGCCTTAAAGAGCCCTTGATAGCAGAAGAAAGTCATCTAAACGAACCTGCCCTAAAAGCTGATTTAGCTTGTAGAGGCGTATGGGAGACTCAGATGGAGGCATTGTTTTATGTTTGTGTAGTTGACACTGATGATCCATCTTATGTCTCCATCCCTCATCAAGTTATAAAAAAGCAGAAGATGAAAAAAAGAGTGGTATAACGTCTCAGTAAATCAAATCTGCCTTTCTTAAAATGTTAACTGTGTGGGTCGCCTTTGAAATATGTACAATGGATAACCTAACCTAGATATGGTAAGTGGGTAGACCTATTATTAGTTACCACTATTTCCTAAATAAACTATTAAAACTCTGTATTAAACATCAATAATTTTAAAGAATATTAGCAGGGTTGCCACCATAGTGGGATGAAAAAATTCATGCAGAATTTATGGTTTAAATTTGTAGTAAAAAAATTCATGGTCGATAAGCTCTTAAACACAATTGAGTTTTGTTGATTTCAGAAATTGATGTTAAAGAGGTAGTTTCTTTGTATGTTACTATTTAATAACCTTTCATACTTAAAATACAACTATTTTATAGGGATTTATAAATTTTCAAAACAAAGATGAAAACAAAACATGTTCAGCTATTCTAAATGACATATTGGAGAAGACTTGTAAAATAGAAGTCTAGGTCTATTCAGTCTTTCCATCAGTATAAAACAAAAATCCCCCTCACCTGGCCAAAAAAGGCTGTTTTATCCCTCCATGTGAATGTCATGAAATATCCTGTATTCTGGTTTATCTTATTAAACAACATACTAAGATATGATTAATTTTATCAACAAAGCTCAAACAAATCAGGCGTCAGAGTCGGAAATCCCGTTTTATTGCACACCTCCGTTTCAATTCCGTGGTATAAAACTTATATTCTTGTGATTATAGTCCCCATACCTCTTTATTCTTTTGGTTGGAACATGAAAAAGTAACAAGAACAAGTATCCAGTGCTCCAGTATATTTTAATATTTTAAAGAATACTTTATTCTTTAGCGCATAAGGTGGACTAGAAAAGTTTGGTAAAGCATTTAGTTGTTATAAAAACATTAAATTTAGAAATTTTTCATAGATAAAGATTCAAAGTTAAACTTTATCTTCATATTTCTGTGGACAAATCACATGGTTTTCCACTGCACCATTTTAACTATACTACTCACTTAATAAATTAATATTTGGCACTGTTCCTCGTGAATATATTCAATGGAAGACATAAAACTATTGTTTTGATTCAATATTTTAAGTTGATTTATTGTAAAATAACACACTGTAATAATTTTTTTTTAAATCTGACTAAAGTAGTCATTTCCTGTATAAAACTGCATGAATAGAAAAACAACTGGTTCAATAAACTGGTTTGAAGTCCAAGAAACAACTGACTGGAACAGTGGTTGTGCACAAGGAGTGAGTGAGAGGGAAATACTGAGTGAAAGGGACAAGACTCTAGTGAATGATAATGCTGGAACTTCCAGTTGGACTATGAACATTCATTGTTGATTTTAGCCTTTTAATATGTCATATTAAATAGAAGATTTTATTGATATTCTTTTGTTAATTGACTTGACTGCATTTTATAATTACTTGACCTCCTATTTATCATACTTTATTGTGATAAGACATTTTTTGCTCAATTTGGTGGTGAACTGAGTAGCCACCTCATCCATTAATATTATAACTACAGGAAACTATTTTTATAATTAATTGGGAATCACAATGGGAAATAAGGAAAAATATAAAGTAGGTGAACATGTTTTTGCTAAAGTCAGAGGTTTTCCACACTGGCCTGCTATTGTAGATTCAGTGGACTCTAACAATAAAATCATAAAATATCAAGTTAGGTTTTTTGGTACAAATGAGACAGCCACAATAAAGGAAATAGATGTTTGTTCTTATCTTGAAAACAAAAATAAATATGGCAAACCTGATTCAAAAAATAAAAATCTCTCTAAGGCAATAAAGGAGGTTGAAGAAAGTTTAAATAGTAGTGGAGCTGGGAGAGTCAACTGTTGTAGTTTACTTGTTTATGAACATATTTTGATCGAACACCCCTGGCCTGAGTAACAGCCTTATTATAAACG